AAAAATGCAGAATTAAATGTATTGTTATAATAAAACATCATGATGAGAATTTTATCTTGCGAAATTAATAAAGTACCTATTACAGCTATATTAGATTCCGGTGCTAATTGCAATATTATAAGTAAGAGCTTAGTAAATGAGTTTGGTTTTGAAATCGATAATCTTCATATAGAATCTGGAAAATCACCACATATATTAACTACAGGAGATAGGCTATCAATATTAGTGATGCTCCATGAAATAAATTCCTCTTTTCAATCCAAAGATAATAAATCAAAGCAAGTAAAAGTTACCAATATTTTCGTTATCAATAAATCCGAACTTGAATCTGTACTGATATTGGGTCAGCCATGGTTCCAGAAAAATTCAATGAAAGTGAACTTTCCAAATAAAACTCTTACATTCTTCGATGGAACTGCTATATCATTAGTTATTGGATCAGGAATTCTGTCATCTACACAACTCAATATGTCCGTGAATGAATATGTCAAGATGACAAAGGTATATGCCACACCATTGGATATCAACTTAATTAATCAAGACCTTAAGAGGACTTTCTTCAATGCTCTATCACGAGAAAATAAAAAAGAAGTAATTCGATTCGGGTTTAAAAATTCTTTGAATGAAATAGTTGACCACTTAAATAAGATCTCAACTGGACCTACTGATATTCAGAAATTCCAATTTGGATGTTTGGAGCAAGAAAATGATTCAGTAATGGAGTATTTTGCAAAAGTAAAAAAATGTAATGACTCGCTTGGATATGATGAAGAACATCTTAAACATCAATTCCTTCATGGATTAAATTCTGATAACCATATGGAAGCCAGAAGATGTGGAACAGACCTATCATTAGATGAGCTGGTTGCAAAGTTAAGCGTAATTGAGAATATCCGGAAAATAAATAATATATATACCTAAATTAATTATCTGAACATTAGTTATTTCTGATATATACTAATTAGCAATGCCTAATTTACTTAATCTTCTTCCACTAGAATTAATACCATTCATAACGAAGTATCTTCCGATCCAAGATCTTAAAAATTGCTGTAGTTTAAATGATATATGGAAAACTGAAGTGATTAGAGAAATTCGCAAAAGATTAATAGTGGACTGTACATTCGTTGATAAAAATACAACTGTTAAAGCGCTAATTGATCCTAAGTTCCAACACAGTAGTATTAGCAAAACACTTGCCAAAAAAATGGATTTATATATTTCTAGAGAATATGGATCAAGATATCCTGCAGTAAAAGATCTTGGTATTGGTGCAACAAATGCTGGCAAGAAAGTGATGAGGAGGGGTTGGATTGACAGAGAAAAAGTTTCCGTTACTTTGCCAAATATCTTTGATAATATAGTACCCCCTTCATATTTGGGAATAGATACAGCAAATTTTGTAGTTGTTGACAAGCCTGAATATGATTTGGTTTTGGGACATTTATGATTAATGCATACGGGATATCGAGTTGACAGGTATAAAAAATCACCACTATATATTAATAGATCTAAAGATATCGAAGAACAAGAATTAGAAAAAAGCCAATATCATGCAAGAAATAGTATTTGGGAATTATCACTTTCATTGCATACATTCTACGAGCTATTATTCCCTAAATTTATTGCAATGGACTCAGATAGGAAAGCTATAATAACCAAATTTTTCAAACATAAACGCGACTTCGATGGTCTAAACGAATATTACAATTCAGAATACTCTGAAACGGAGTCTGAATCTAGCGATTCTGAGACTGAATTTAGCGATTCTGAAGTGAATGTATCTCTCCCTGTTATAATTGGGCAATACAAGATAATAACAGAGCTAGTATCGAGATACATAATACTGATTTTATTTCTGCATTCGATGATTGTATCAAAGAGATTGGCAGGATTAATCTTAATTTACCATGGTATACAAATAATTTTATTTAGTATCGAAGAATGGGTAATTATTTACTGAGTTATTTTTTCGGTTATAATATACATCATTAAATAATTTTTGACATGCTTTTCATAGAGACACTCGTAGAGGGAAAAATCCCAATTAAAGCATTAATTGGTACAACATCTAAATCCAATACCATTAGCAAGAGCTTGTTCGATAAGCTTGAAGAAGATTATGAGTTGGAATGCTTATCTGGCGATGAATTGATTGGTGAAGAAATAAAAGGCTTAGTTTTACAGTTTCACTATAAAGGAAAGTGGTGAGGTTTAGATGGTACCGAAGTAATAAACTTTCAAATTCGCAAAAATCCATCATTTGATTTGGTATTAGGGAGAGATTGGTTATGAATGTATAAAGCAAAAATAGGTTTCAGATTCTCTTCTGAAATCAATGATTTTTACGCTAAAATTGTAATCGATGGTATGAGTATCCCATTAATTGAAAAAGATAGCAGACCTACAGGTGACTCTTCGAGCCATAAAGCCAGCTTCACTAAAAATAACTTATCTATTGCAGAGCAATGGGACTTTGTCCCTAAATTAACAGAATCTAAACCTGGTCTAGCTCAAGAGGAGGTTATAAATATAATTAACAAAATTCTCTCAAATATCGAAGATAGACTTGAAGGGTCATTGTTTTGTAATAATAAGCAACGAAAAAAAAGTCATGGAATATTTCACAACAAATCTGAGACAGAGACAGATTCATCCAGCTCCGATTCAGAATCTACGGATTCAGACTGGTATGATCTCGACCCAATAAAATCCTGAAAGAATCGTGTTCATATTAAAAAGAAAAAGGTTGTTTCTCCTATCCGAAAACATCGTAAAAATAAAGCTTCATAATAGGACCTATTCTCCAGAGTAATGATCCATCCAATCAGAATAATTAAAAAACCGTTAACGGTCAGAAATTTATCAATCAATCACATCACGGGTAGGATCGATATAGAAGTTCATGGAACATGTCAAATAAAAAGCCTGTGATCTCATATTTATCCTACATGCTTATTGCTCTACGCTTTCACCGTTACTATTTGAATTGAATTTTGATAAGCCTCCCAGTAGTTGATACGATAAGTTCTTGTATTGACATAATCACCACTACCCCATTCACCTTTTATATTATCTCTTATATTATCTTTTTTATAGTCTTTATTGCATATAGGGCAGGTCGTTGAACAGTCAAAGTAATCGTTATTCCCGGTACTATATTTTAAAGACAAACTTTGAAACTGCTCCAGTATCATTTTGATAACATGTTTTTGTTTCTCTTTTGGATCGTCAGGTAAAATAGAGATAGACGGTCGTGATTTGGTTGGCGTGGATGAATTGGAAACGTGAGATTCAGTAGATATACTTACCTCAGTTTCCGGTAAAGATTCGACTTTTTCACTTATATTATCTTCTGAATTAGATGTATGAGTTAATAGGATAGAGGGAGCGGTCTCACGAAGTGAAGATGTTTCTAGTGAAACCTTTTCAGGCAACATGCTTACCTCTACATTAATCTGATCATGACATTTTGTCACGGTTTTTGAAGTCACCTCATTTATGATATGCTGAATTTGAGTATTTTTCAATTCCGAAATTGTACTTGCACTATATGTAATGTATTCGATTTTATCTATGTCTACGCCTCTATCACCAAATAGCTTAAGAATTTTTCTCGCTCTTTCGGTTTTCTTACACAAATTTGCATCTGTAATATTAGGTAGAAAAGGTTTCATTTTCTTATATATTTTTGATCTTGCTGTTTTATCTTTAATCTGGCCATCTGTTGTAAGACTTTTAACCTTATTTTCGAATTCTAGAGAATAATAATACCAATTTAAAATTTGTTTTTGACCTGATTTAATTGCTTTATCAAATAAGTCAGATAAACTTTGCACAGAACTTGAAGCCATATCCTCATCATTATTTGAATATAAAGGATTGATTTCGGAAGAAACAATATTTTTACTTGATCATAGGTCATCTCTTGTATTAAACCTTCTATGATTTGATTGTCTGATTCAAGTATTTCGGAGGTAGTATCAGAATTGTTAAGATCGTGACATTTTGTCACAGTTTTTGTATCACATAATGATAAGGATGGGGATGTTATTGTCTTTTCAGATCCCATTGAAGCATCCTGATTAACTAAAGATAGATCCTGATCCTGAGAAGCGGAAGCTTCATTACTATGTAATAGCTTTTTTTCCATATTCCTTTGCTTTATCTCATTACTAACCCTTTTCCTATTTTCTGAATCTAAAAAGACATCAATTTCTTTATCTTCTAATGATTTGGATTTTCCGGAGCAAGTTTCATTAAGGTTAGATGTATTGGAAATTGTGCTAACTACCTGTTCTGAAGTTACTAAGTCAGTGCTAGTCATGGATTGATTCGCTTCATGGTGAGTTGAAGAATCTTTAATCTGCGCATTTTCACAACTCTTGTTAGGTAATGGAGTAGAATATTCCGGAGATTTCTGCGAAAGCAGGCCTTGTGGGGCTAAATCATTAGTAACTGTTCGATTTTTCTTTTCAATATTCTTAACAGCTCGTTTTAATTTTGCAATTTCATTCTTGAGCTCGGCATTTTCTGTTTGACTTAACTTTGTAGTCTGTTCTAATTCCACAATTCTAACTTCAAGCTCATTTTTTTCTTTCGCAATCTGCTCCAATTCCGCGATTCTAGTCATAAGCCTGGCATTCTCTTGTTTTAATAAGTCGATTTCGAATTGCATGTTTTAACGATAACTTTTATACAAATGCGAATTATTCAAATGTTATTTATTATCATATATAAAGACCGTGATGATCAGAATCACACTGTAAAACGCAACATGTGATTTGCACACCAGTTGTGAGATCAAAAATATGGTTTCATGCACCGAGATCAGATTTAATGACTCGCACCACGTGAAGAAAATAAGTTTTTACATGTAAAGAAAGTTATTTATTAAGTATGTGTTCTCTATCTAATTAATTTTATTGAACATCATATAAAAGGAGTTCATCCATATCATCTTCTGTTACGGGTGTTAAATCTTCATCAGGTAAATTTATCCATTCTCGTAAATCACCTGTATCATCTTCAACTGAAGGAATAAAAGTTCTGAATCTTTTCTTGTTCTATGAATTCGTTTCTTATAACCGCAAAAAAATTAAAGATTTTCGAATAACACGTGATGGCTTCAAAAGAAAAAGGAATTATACATGAAGCTAATTCTAGGGCTAAATACTTTTTTTTTTCAACAAGTGATACAGAAAATAAAGTTAATCGGTCCCCAATTGCTTGAATGCTATAAGATTTGACTTTCTTTGCATCATCAATTGGGCAATCGAAATTGTTCGCCAGTATCCTACACAAGTTGCAAATGGCCATCATGAGTAATTTTTTGGCATCTCCGACTGTATGTTTCTTTTCAGGTTTGTAAGGTGGCCCGGACACCTCAACATGTAAAATTTCCGTGGCATCCGATAATCTCAGAACCAGCAGATCGGTTTTACGGGCCCTCACGTTAATCGCAAACATATTGCTCGCGTCCTTTAATGTTTTAACATCCTTTTCGATCCACTCGTACTTCACGTCGGGGAATGCATTCCTGAAGGCTCGGAGTATGGGTGAAAGACATTCAACAATATATGATCTTTCGGACATATCCCGAACCAGAACCTTGGGTGACAGATACTTGAACATTGCAACAAAGTCTAGTAAGGTGTGCCTTATGAAAAAAAGAAACCTCGATTCTTCGCTCGTTTCACTATCTTCAGCTTCTGTCTCTGTCATTATTTTTGAAATAATTTCTGAATAATCTGCCAGGAAAATTGTGTAAAGTTTTTCGGTTATTGGCCTCTTTAAAATTAATTTGTTTCTCATCTTGAGAAGTTTTTCGATTTTTTCATATAAAGTACTTTCTGTTGTTTCCTTAACAAGATGTATTGTTGTGTTGAAGGCGCAAATTATATGCGTTGAAATCTGATCATATGTTGCTTTCGTTATAATTGGCCTGTATGGTGACATAACTGGAGGATTTGCATTCCGGGTTGTCCAGTTTGTGGGACGGAACATCCGTTCACGTTCGTATGCTTGATACTTGATGAATTTTGAAAATAATGAGAATGTATGATTTTTTATTGCAGGAAAAGTAACAAGAATAATTACATGATATGGATCTGAAATATCTGAATCGGAAATTTCAGCATAATCAATTTCTTCTCGTTCTCTTAGACTATACCTTCTCGTATGTTCTTCCTAAAGAGGTCATAAAAAACAAGTTAGAAAGATGTTTCATACAATTGATCATTTACAGAAACCTACCTCAACTCGCTTTTCACCTAAATTTTGTTCATTATTAATCGCTTCTGTGTTATTTTCTTTTTGATTATTCTGATAAACACGTCGAAGATGGGAAAGGTAAGAAGTAAATTTCATATTAAAAGCTGGCCATTCAACAATATAACTACCTCAATGTTCAGAGACTGTGACCTGTGACGCTTGTACGTGCGATCATCATCTATACTCTCTAATCGTCTTGTAACTTTTTCTCGAACCAAACTTTCTTGTCTATCACGTTGAAGGGTTGAGTGTACAGCGGATGTAGCGAGTTCATCCTGTTATAATAGACAAGTTAGCGTTCACGTTTGCTGTGTACCTTGTTATATCGCCAGAATATCTCATACCAACAAAACTGAACGTTCGATTTCATTTGCCACTTTCTTCTCTTGCGCTAACGTAACCGTCTTCCAGAAGTTATCAATCGATTTTGACTTTTTTTCCTTCTATTAATAAAAAAATAAATCAAATTTGTAAGAAACGGAATCACCCGAGTCTCAACTCACAAGCTCCCAATTACGATCAGAAGTGATAGATATTAATGAAAAAATGTGTAAACATCCACCCGAGTCGCAACTCAAGCATTCCCAATCGCAATCAGTAATGTTGGGTGGTTAAACACATTTCGTCAGGAACAACCACCTGAGTCACAACCCAAGCATTCCCAATCGCAATCAGGAATGTTAGGTGGTTGAGCATATTTCGGCAGGACGGAACCACCCGAGTCGCAACTAACCATCCCCAATCGCAATCAAGGATGTTGGGTGGTCGAACGCAGGTCGCAACCCCATCCAAAAAGGCTATTGCCATTTCAGACCCATCCACTGCCAACAAAACACATCAAAAAGTAATACTTAACTTGCAACAAATTAAGCGCGTCGCCAGCCAGTTTAGTCAATTCCGGGGATGCTTGTTAGTGGCTGAGTATACTAGCAAGGCTACGAGTATATCGGTTGTGTTCCTCAGGTTTGTCGGCACAGAAATCAGAACATTTTTGTCGATATAACAGAAAATTTAACAGTGTCCACTCGCGGTCCAAAGTAAAAAAATCAGGATCATCTAACGAGATTCCTAACAGTATAAAAAGGAACTTTAGAAATCACAGAGTTTCAAATAGAGCGTGCTAAGAAAGTAAACTTGCCGTTAGTTACGTGAGCAGAAGTCGACATGTTTACGAAAATTTTGTGCGCTTGAAACGGAATAATGAATTGAGAATTTGGGAATCGGTAAAATTCTAAAAAAAAAACCGTGACAAAATGTCACGATCAGACTTGCAGATCACTTTTGCCAAGAAAATTATACATTACACAAAAATTTTTTTTGTACACGACGCCTTTTACTGCTGGGTTCGTTACTTGCCGTTATCCTGTCTTTTAACAAACCCACAATGATTCCAATTATTCGTTGTACATGTTTCGAAGAATATCGATATTTTCTTTGATCGCGGTTTTTGAGAGGTTTATTTGATATTCAAAAAATTTGAATTAATAAAATTACTAGTGCGTTCTTTTTCGGAACGCCGATCGTCACATATACCACGAGTTAATCAATCAGATTAGAACAATCAGTAGGTCACACGATTACATCATGCATGAAAAGTTCCATGACCTTCGATTTTATTCGATCTTATTCTGTGGTATGTATTACGCGAGTACATCTATGTAGCCCCCACCCGATTTGGAAAGTCTGATAATCAATGCCTCATTTGGGGGACGTCTAGAGCGGAGGCAAATCACGTGAAATATTAATGATTATGATTGGTCAATGCGGATAAAATTCTGATT